TCACTAAAATAATTATGTCAGATATTAAACGTACCTTATAAATAAAGTGAGTTTACGGGGTAATGGAATTAAGCACTACTAAATTGAATTCATATCAATAACGCAGTAGTCTTTCATTTAAACGTGTTTAGGGATATTAAAATACTTTTAAAATTATATTAAAGATTTTAAACAGAAATATTTACCTATTCGATACTAAATAAAATAAATCTAAAAAGTTGTTTTTATTTTAGAAAGTAACAGCTAGAGTATTCACAAGGTCCGATAAAATACATGTCAAAATTAACACCAGCTGAAATGATTATTTCTTGCCCATTAGTTAAAATTTTATAATTGATTTTTATATAAGAGAGCGATAGTAATCATATTGTCCCTTTAAATGGAGCATGGAGTATGGCAAATTTATATTATATATATTTATATATATTATGACTTTCAAGGAATATAATTATTTTGACTATTTGAGAAAAAAAAATATTAAGCTTAGCATTATATAAATGATATATGATATTATGATATTATTATATTAACATACATTTAAGGACACCCTAAATATAGAGGGTTTTCTAATAGCAAAGAAAGAAAGAATGGACACACACAAAAATTTATTTAATTTTATTGAAGTTGGGCTGACCATACAACGCTGTTTCGAATATTGCCAAGTACTTATCATCAATGGTCTTAGGAAAAAATCGAATTTTTAATTAGTATATAGTCCGTATATTATTTGTTTTTGGACTGCAAGTGCTAGGCTTAGAACTCATGCCTATCAAATTAGAAGCGATGACAAAACGTGTTTATACCATAAATATAATATAAAAAATTATAAATTAAATTAAATTATGAATAAATTAAAATATATATTACGATATATTTTCATTCAAACAACTTCACTAATCTATAATAGATAAGAGCTGAGAACCTTTGGTGTCCTTACTTTGAATTTGTGATTCATTGTTTTTTTTTTATTTAATAACAACTAAATAAAAAATCTATATTAACTTTTTAAGTTTTTATACAAAATATGTAAAAATATTTTGCATTTATTAAGAACCTTAAAATGATTTTTAAATTTTACAAATATTATTTTTTATTCGCATTAATATTTGCATTTCATTTTGAATATGTGGTTCAAATTATTTTAATATATTCTGGCTCAAAACTCGTTTCATTATTAACTACTACAGGTTTTAAATTTAATTTAAAAATGTATTAACCGTTGAGCATTTGTTTAGGAACTTATAATTAATTATAGTGTATATTTAAGAGAAAAAAAATATACTACAAAATGGAATAAAAATTAAAATTTACATAGAATTAAAATTGACCTAACATTGTTCTGGAGAATTAATTTTATATTAATTTTAAAATAACGTTTCTATTTTTTTATAGCAACAAATTTACTTCATAGTTTTACAGAACAATTACAATATTACTTAAAAAGTACTGAATTCTAATTTTACATGGTACTTTTTAGCAAATCATTATTTTCATTTTTAAATTTATTATTTATACATAGTAATATTTTGAAACTTCCTATAGATGGAATTTTACACACAACCGGATCTGCTTACGAATTTATTTACACATTTGTCACATGTGTAAGTAGTGTAATTATAATGTATATAGTAAATAATATGCATCACAAATATTACATTAAAATGACATTAAAATATCATATTATTAAAAAAAATTAAATTAAATATTTTTCCGACTTCAGTGAACTTTTTTTTTAATTACGAAGAAAGTAAAAAAAATTAAATAGAAAGAGCTATTAATTATTTTGTAAATATAAATACTTTTGGATAAACTTAATTTACACGATGAAAATCACAAACTGATATTTAGTTTTTAATGTAAACATCAATAAGTGATCATCCAAACACGAACAGTAGTTGATTTGAATATCGAAATGAAACTAAGATTGACTAACTGTTATTTTTATAAATTTATTGATAGTATATTTACATATGTATATATATTCTATTTATATAAAAATAATTAAAACATTAAATAATTTGAGTATATTAATTAACTTCAAGTTAGATAATTCTAATTTTAATTGTGTTTGTGAGTTTACTGCTAAAATTTTATTATATATGTTTTTTATATCACATTACCAATATTTTGCCATTAAACATATTCGTAAAATAATTTTTTTTCTAGATTTCTTTGATTGCAATGTACATTAGTTTTTTGTACATTTTATATATTTTTACTGAGTTAAGTCACTTTAAATATTATAAAATAATTCACACGTTATTGTTGTTGTAAAACTCATTGTTATTCAAGTTGAACAGCAGATTT